CCATAAATGGGGTTAAATCCGAGTGGGGATCTGTAACAAGTGGCGTTCCACAGGGATCAGTCTTGGGCCCGTTGTTGTTTATAATATATATCAATGATCTTGATGAGGGAATTACTAGTGATATGAGCAAATTCGCCGATGACACAAAGATAGGTAGGATAATTGATTCAAACGTAGATGTTAGGGAACTTCAGGAGGATTTAAACAAACTCTATTCTTGGTCAGAAAAGTGGCAGATGCAGTTCAATGTAGATAAGTGCAAGGTTCTGAAGCTTGGGAGTGCCCATAACCCTAGTACTTATAAATTAAATGATGTAGAACTTAGCCATACAGATTGCGAAAAGGACTTGGGGGTTATGGTGAGCAGCAACCTTAAACCAAGACAGCAATGCCTAAGCGTACGTAATAAGGCAAATAGATTACTGGGATTTATATCAAGAAGTGTAAGCAACAGAAGTCCAGAGGTCATACTGCAGCTTTATACATCATTAGTAAGGCCTCACCTTGATTATGCAGCGCAGTTCTGGTCTCCGTATTACAAAATGGACATAAATTCGTTAGAAAACATTCAGCGTAGGATGACTAAATTAATACATAGCATCAGAAATCTTCCTTATGAAGAAAGATTGAAGACTCTTAAGTTACATTCACTTGTTAGACGAAGAATGAGGGGAGACCTGATCGAAGTGTATAAGTGGAAGATAGGTATTAATAAAGGGGATATTAATAAGGTCTTGAGGATGTCTCTCCAAGAGAGAACCCCCAGTAATGGATTTAAATTAGATAAGTTTAGATTTAGAAAGGACATAGGAAAGTATTGGTTTGGAAATAGGGTAGTTGATGAGTGGAACAGTCTACCTAGTTGGGTTATTGAGGCTAGGACTTTGGGTAGTTTCAAATCTAGGTTGGATAAGTACATGAGTGGGAAGGGTTGGATTTGAGTGGGACTTTCACATCAGAGCTTATTTCTTGGGTAGCATTGAAAATCGGGTTGGGTAAATGTTTTGTTAGTGGGATGAATTGTAAAGGACCTGCCTAGTATGGGCCAGCAGGCCTCCTGCAGTGTTCCTCCTTTCTTATGTTCTTATGTTCTTATGAATCTGGGAAGGTACATTTTAAGGAAATAAATGGCTATTAATGGTCATTAATTTGCTTTCTGTGGGTGATGCTAGTTCTGGTTTACCAGAAAGCAGGTTAATGATGCATCAAGATCATTTCCAAGGTCATGCGACCCTTGTAAGTGAACCTGAGTGTCCACAAGTAGTGTGCGTGTCAGCTGCGTCAGCCGGATATCAGTGAGTGATCTCAATGCCTCAGGCCTATCAAGTGCAACATGTTAGGTTTTGTATACCAATTATATAATAAAGGCCCGAGAAACCCAGGCCTTGCTGGGTGTAATTAATCAAAACACCGTTGTTCCAAGCCTCGATCTTGGAGGACACGATTCTTCTTAATGACGAATTAAGAGTTGTGATATTTTGAGGAAATTCTGGGAATGGACAAGAGTAACTGGGAAAAACAAAAGAGTGCAGGACTCGTTTTCTGGAGGATTTTTATGAGACGGAAGGAGAGCCCAGGACACAGTTGAGAGGTTAAAACCAAAGTGGTCTTCACTTCTAGTAGTGGCTTGGTGAAACTTGATGGTACACTGAAGTACAGTGGAACCTCGGTTTTCGTATGCCCTAGTTTCTATGTAAAACTATAGTTATTCTCTCTAAAATGTATTTTTTATTAACATTTCCCATTAAGAAATAATGTAAATCCAATTAATCCGTTCCAGATACCCAAAAATATTAACAAAAACTACATTTTATAGAGAATAACTAAAGCATCCATATAGATACTAGAATTAAATGCAAGTACGTACCATGCCCAGGTGTTACTTGTAAACAACCTTCTTCCATTAAATGTTACCAGAAAAATGGAATTCTGATGGTGTTCATTAATTTGTTAACTCGGTTTAAAGCCTATCCACTACACGAGGGTTATTAGTGTTTACTGACGCAGGACCCATAACTGAGGCTTTTGGTTATCTGGCCAAGGACTTTCACTGGTTTATCAGTTTATCAATATCATGAAAGCTGTATTTAAACGATGGAATTAGCTATATCTAAAATATTTGTAACATTTATGTAAGTTATATTAGCAAATTCTTCACCTTAAAAATATTCCGTTTTCTTCTAATTTGATTTTTAATCCTTATTGACTATGTTTTTAAGTAATAAGAGCTGTGGAATGAATAGTTTATAAGTGGCAGGTGACTATTTCAGTAATATTTACCATTGGGCTAGTAGCGGATGATAAACCATTAGGCGATTGGAAATATCTGAGAAATAATTTATTACATGGTGTGATACCAAGGAATACCCGGTATGACAGTGTGGTCTTTACCACCAGGGTGGTGTTAATAACGAGGTCTAGCGTGATCTTAACCACCAGGGTGGTCTTAATAATGAGATCTAGTGTGACAGTAGCCACTAGTATGGTCGTAATAACTAAATGTAGTGTGATCTAAACCACCTGTTTGGTCTTAAGGTCTGTGATCTTGATTACCAGGTCTGGTGAGGTCTTAGCGACTCTTTGATAAATGAAGATATTCCAACTTTCAACACTTACAATAAATTCCTTAGTACCTTCAAAGCGCTCCTAAGTTATTAAATAAAATAAATGCATACAGTATTTACAGAACAAAGATACGCTGGTCTGGTGGCTAAAGCTCCCGCTTCACACACGGAGGGCCCGGGTTCGATTCCCGGCGGGTGGAAATTCCGACACGTTTCCTTACACCTATTGTCCTGTTCACCTAGCAGCAAATAGGTAACTGGGTGTTAGTCGACTGGTGTGGGTCGCATCCTGGGGGACAAGATTAAGGACCCCAATGGAAATAAGTTAGACAGTCCTCGATGACGCACTGACTTTCTTGGGTTATCCTGGGTGGCTAACCCTCCGGGGTTAAAAATCCGAACGAAATCTTATCTTATCTTATCTTAAATGAGAACGTGGTAGCATACTCCTTACAGCTTCAAGAGACTAGACACCAGTAGATGCCACTCATTTTTAGTATTTATTTCTGAAAGTACAATGTATACAGGCCTAGCTGACATCAGTGACAGACTATAATGTAAAGTAAAAGGACACAAGTGACATTGTGGCAACGTTTCGCTCTCCAGGAGCTTTATCAAGCCATTGATAAAGCTCCTGGAGAGCGAAACGTTGCCACAATAAATGTCACATTAGTTGCACTTGTGTCCTTTTACTTTACATATTGTCGGTAATTCTACCAACTTTATTACAGACAGACTATAATAATCTTCTACAAATACAAACCATAGCTGACATCAGTGTTATACTGTATAGAAAGACCCTTGACATCAGTGTTATACTGTATAGAAAGACCCTTGACATCAGTGTTGTACTGTATAGAAAGACCCTTCTTATGACCTAATTTCGGGAAATTAGGTCAGTTTTGTCGCCGGGATGCGACCCACACCAGTCGACTAACACCCCGGTACCTGTTTTACTGCTGGGTGAACATGGGCAGCAGGTGTATTAAGAAAAACACGTCCTAATGTTTGCACCCGTACCGGGGACTGAACCACGGACCAATGTGTGAGCCGAGATTCGGAACCAGGAGCTGTCTTGACCTCTTGCAAATACAGTTGAGCTCGGTGAGTACTAGTCCCTAGAAGCCTACGGAAGTAGGCTCTAAGCTTTGAGAGGAAATAGCATAATTTCGCGGTGTCGAGCGCAAATTTATATATCAAATGCTCCGTTAAAATAATTCAGTGGGCCGTAACAGCGGGCTTTGAAATACCCTCCAGAACACTGATGTATCAGAACGCAATCAAAGCGGCAAATGGAAACGGCAGGGTGGCTGACACTAGCGACAAGCACCAGTATAACACTGCTTTGATCTGCCCTGTCAAATACACCTACCCTAAAACATTTCAACACGTCTCCTTATCAAACATTTTTTTTATATATCGTCCATCAAAATGTTTCAACGCTTCCTTATCTAATATTTCTCTATAATCTTCCCCCCTAACCCCCTCAAAAAAATGATTTTAACAATCCTCTTTGTCTTGTACTTTTCAGTCGCCAACCGAAACAAATGCACTTCGACTCAGATATAAAAAAAAATCTCTCGCTAACAAAATCGCTATTTAAACATGTCTCTTATCAAATATTTTTATATCGCCACTCAAAATCATTTTCAACACGCCCAACTGTATAAAAAAAATCTAACCTTCACCAAAATCGTTATTTAAACATTTCTCATAAAATATTTTTCTTTCAAAAAAATTAAATTCACCTTTTACAACATTTTCCTTACAGCTATAATACTTCGGATATGAATTCATTGCAAAATACTCAAGAGCAAAATAATCTCTAAAAATAACTTTGCTAATGTTTTCCCCTACTGTGTAGTATATTCTGAAATTGTTAACAATGTCAGACAGGAGATCTTAACAGTGCAAGACAAGCCACGGGGGGTGAGGGGGGAATCTTCAGTTCAGGTACTTTCACACTTCTCAGAGCCTCATCAGGAGCTATGCAATGTTGCAAGAGTAACAACAGGAGAAATGAGAGGAAGTTTTCTCAGAGTAGGGTAGCGTGGGTGACACCAGCCACAGCTTCTCTCAGAGTATGATACTCTGAGAGAAGTTGTATATACTGAGACATATCGATGTAAGTATCCTGAGATGAACAACTCTCAGTATGACTGGCTGGAGAAGTATGAGGTATCCAGTAAAAAAAATGAATAACTAATAAAATGAATAACTACCATTATGTTAAAACCATTTGCTAGCCATGTCTATTCCTACTTCGCTTTAATTACATCCTAATGGTTATAATCATAACCTCGGTCAGATGATCAAAATCTCTAGCTGTGGGTCATCGTATGAATAAAACTCGTATCAGGAAACACTTGTCCTGTTTCCTTACAAAAGTTGTACCTACCATATCTATTCCTAAATTTGTTTTTCTTTTCACTACAGCGATTAGCATCCAGGTGGAGAAAGTGGTAGTGCCACCAGTGGTACTTGCTGGACGACCCGTCACTCTCGAGTGCCACTATAAGGAAGAGGGAGACAAGTTATACTCCCTTAAGTGGTGGCGGGGAGATGAAGAGTTCTACCAGTACATTCCCCCCAAAAGGAAGGAATTCCCGGCTACTGGTGTCACAGTGAACCTGACCGTCACTTCTTCCCTGAATTGGGTGAGAGAGGGAGATGGACTAAATTGAAGAAGGGAAGCGAAAGAGAATGTGTGTGTGTGTGTGTGTGTGTGTGTGTGTGTGTGTGTGTGTGTGTGTGTGTGTGTGAGAGAGAGAGAGATAACTGATAAACATTATTTATACATAGTATTATTTACAATTTGTTCCGGAACACTTTACAGAAAGCTCCTGGTTATAGTCTGCTTAGTCACCAGAAAATTTTACCTCTCATTCTCACTGTCCAAAGAAATAAATAACTAGTGTTAATTACATTTTACATTTGCTAATTTTTAATTTTGCACCAAAACTAACCTTGAAACCAGCTCCAGATATTTTTTAAATGAAGTTAAATAGAAGCTACTTGGCAGGTGATTCTCTTAACCTATCATACGAAGTATTGTATTACTATATACGTTGATAGTTTATTTTCATGCCCCCTTTCTCTTTTTTAAGGATTAAAGTATTAACTGGTGGTAAACAGAGTTCATGGAGCCTGTCTTCAATTTCCACAGGGTAAGGATGGTCAGGAAGTGGTGGTGCTGGACCATGTGGGGCTCGATACTGCTGGCGTCTACAAGTGTGAGCTGGTAGCTGAGCGCAGCTTCGAGACAGTCTCTCAGCAAGCTAATATGACAGTCATATGTAAGTGTTATGTGGTAAGAGGGTCAAGAAAAACGGGAGCGCCGAGCAGAAGCTAGTTACCCCAGAAATTATTTATTTTATTTATTATTATTATTCACAGAACATGTATCCTGCTTTCAGTTAACAATATCTTTATCTACTACAAGTACATGTACAATGTATACAGGTCTAGCCGACATCAATGACATACAACTATACATAAAACCCCTTCTCGAGCTAAACATTTCGGGCAAATTAGGTCAGTTTTGTCCCAGGATGCGACCCACACCAGTCGACTAACACCCAGATACCCATTTTACTGATAGGTGAACATAGATGAAGACACCACTACCACGAGCCCTCATAAAGTGGGGATGGTGCCAGAGCCAGAGCTTGCTACCACCTGTAGCTCACAAGACTGCCGCTCCCACGAGCCCCCCTGGGGCGGGGCAGACGGCAGACTAGAGGCCTAGCATCTCCCTACGAGCCCCATGAGGGCGGGGAATGGGGCTAGACCTGGGGACAGTTGGTTCCGAAGCTGTGGAGGTACTTGTACCTCCTCCCATGGGAGACATCGGTCTCAAGACACTCCCAAGACAGGGAGCCGAGGCCGGGTCACCATCTGGAAAAGACCCGGGCCGGGAGCTTACCGGCAAATCGAGAACAACAACAATGAACATAGATAACAGGTGTAAAGAAACACGCCCAATGTTTTTACCCTGGCTGAGAATCGAACCCAAACCCTCACCGTGTGAAGTGAGAGCTCTAGCCACTACAACAGTAGCTACCTGGTTTCAGTGACAATACTACTACATAGAAAGCTCCTTTGTCGTGCACAGCATTTCGGGCAAATTATGTCAGTATTGTCCCCAGGATGCGACCCACACCAGTCGTCTAACACCCAGATACCTATTTTACTGCTAGTTGAACATGAAGAGGGAACACCTGTACCGGAGATCGAACCACGGACCTCATTGTGTGAGCTGAGTGCACTAGCAATCAAAGATAACTTATCCTGACAGCTGAAGTGGGGCTGAGCTGAGGTAGAGCTAGGAAGAGGCTAAGAAGGTTCGGACGGGCGTGCCAAAGGAAGAACTGGAACAGTGGTCAGTTGGGTATTAAACTTCCTAAAAAATGGAATAAGGGTAAAGTCAGAGGTTGCCACAATGACGAGCTCTATTCCCTAATGCACAGTACTCGCCCATATCTTTTTCTTAATCCCCATATCTGTCAGAGACAGGGACATCAACAACAACACTGCATCATCCTTTGCAGACGATACTAGAATTTGCACTAGTGTCATCCATGGGGGACACTGCAAATCTCCAAGCGGATATAAACCAAGCCTTCCAGTGGGCCACAGGAAGTGTGATATCTTATGAGGACAAATTTCAGTTACTCCTTCATGGAAAATCGAGGAAATATAAACTAGAACAGAGTACAAAATTAACTACCCACACAATAGATCGAAAAACTTAGGAGTGATGTCAGAAGATCTCACTTTTAAGGATCACAACAGTATCATTATTATAATCTTGAAGAGATGCCAATCCAATGATGGTCATCTTTGTCACTTGTTCTTTCTAGGTTGGAAAATTGCTGTACATTAGCAGCCTTTTTAAGGCGGGAGAAACTGTAAATTAGACAAATGTACAAAGGATTGATCCCAAATCTGCACACACAACTCACCCCCTACGAAAGCATTTGACTCGGCAGTCTTTGTAAAATACACCCAATGAAAGCAGGGATGCGATGTGTACACTGAGATAACACAAATCTAAGTGGCCCAAGACTTTTCAACTGCCTCCTATCATACATAAGGGAGATTACCAACAGATTCCTAGCTGTCTTCAAGGGGAAAAATAACAAGTTACTGCCTACCCAGCCAGTTTGTGGTTCGTGTTGTGGACTGCTTATGGCCAGCTGTAACAGTGTAGTTGATCATGCTGTAATCCACCAGAAGACCTAATCTTGGACCGGGCCACAAGTGTTGACCTCTCCGAAAATATCCTTCAGGTGTGGCTCGATGGGTGTTCGGCTCCTAACCCAAGGGACCTGGGTTTGATTCCCAGACGGGGTCGAGATGTTTAAGCAAGTCACTTTAAAACGATTTTCCCTCCTCACAGGGAGCCGAGGCCGGGTCACCACTACTTGGAAAACACCCGGGCCCGAAGAATACCGGCGAATAAAAAAAAAAAAAAAAAAAAAAAAAAAAAATCAAACAGTCGATAGGTATCTGAGTGTTAGTAGACTGTTTGGGTGCCATCCTGGGTGTGGATAAATATATCATAACCTGTAAATTCCGTATTAAAATAATACAATTCCTTTATATTACTTTTCATTGGGGAACAGTGTCCAGTAGCTCGGTTGGTAGAGCACTCAGCTCGCACACTGAGTGTCCGTAGTTCAATCTCCGGTATGGGTGGAAACATTGGGTATGTTTCCTGTTGTCCCTGTTTACTTAGCAGCAAGTAGGTACCTAGGTGTGGGTTGCATCCTGGGGGGGTGATAGTATACCTTCAATAGGGCTGGGGCTTTGAAATGAGCTAAGGTAGGGGCTGGGTTTGATTGGTGTCATTGGGTACGGGAGTTATTTCTTGGGTGGCTTTAGGTAGAGATCGTTTTGATAAGGACCTGCCTCGTATGGGCCAGTAGGCCTTCTGCAGTGTTCCTACTTATGTCTTATGTTAACAATTCTTAGCCTATAAAATCTGTGCAAAAGAAAAATCTAAAACCACAGAAGTGATAGAGGGAAGGAAGAAAAACAAAACGTAGCAGTCTGCTAGGCTTCCGTGGGTCCCACTGCTAAGATCCTCTGAAGTATGTTCCCGTGTTGGCCGTTGACCCAAATTTTACTAAGTGACACATGATTTACATCGCGGGTCCTGGAGACCAGCCCATTTACCCACATCTATTTTGATTTTCACAGAAAAACGTGCTTATGTATACAAATCTTCTCTGCTGCTTCTTATGCAAACCTTTTGTTGATATTTGAAACCAAAAAAAAGAAAAGTAATATTTAAATATTTAGATCTGTACAGAATACCGTTTACAGTAAAACTATGTAAAAGTATATTTATTTTTTATACAATAAAGTATTTCTTATTTTGAAAAAAGTTACATTTAGAAAAGCCTTTTTTTGTTTAAATTTCATTTATGGTTGGTCTGTTAGTGTGACATTTAAGTTCAAGCTAATCTTTATTTGTTTTAGTTTTCTTGAAAAATCACTGAAATTATAATACACCGCTTTAATTTCATTAGGGAGATTTTCTCGATATTTATACCAGTGTGAAGAAATCAAAACATACCGAGTAAGATTTTATTGAGAACGTTTCCTCCTTGTGTATAACTTTATTCTGTCATAATAAACTTGAAAAATTTTAACCCTGACGTAATCGACGCAACTAGACGTCTTTCAGTCGCTGCGCTATCCGAGAAAGGTATTCCCTTCCCACACACCCAGCCCCCTCTCCTGCCTCAGTGATCTGAGAAAGTAATTCCCGTCCCACACACCCAGCCCCCTCTCCTGCCTCAGTGATCTGAGAAAGTAATTCCCGTCCCACACACCCAGCCCCCTCTCCTACCTCAGTGATCTGAGAAAGTAATTCCCGTCCCACACACCCAGCCCCCTCTCCTACCTCAGTGATCTGAGAAAGTAATTCCCGTCCCACACACCCAGCCCCCTCTCCTACCTCAGTGATCTGAGAAAGTAATTCCCGTCCCACACACCCAGCCCCCTCTCCTACCTCAGTGATCTGAGAAAGTAATTCCCGTCCCACACACCCAGCCCCCTCTCCTACCTCAGTGATCTGAGAAAGTAATTCCCGTCCCACACACCCAGCCCCCTCTCCTACCTCAGTGATCTGAGAAAGTAATTCCCGTCCAACACACCCAGTCCCCTCTCCTACCTCAGTGATCTGAGAAAGCAATTCCCGTCCCACACACCCAGCCCCCTCTCCTCTCCTACCTCAGTGATCTGAGAAAGTAATTCCCGTCCCACACACCCAGCCCCCTCTCCTACCTCAGTGATCTGAGAAAGTAATTCCCGTCCCACACCCAGCCCCCTCTCCTACCTCAGTGATCTGAGAAAGTAATTCCCGTCCCACACACCCAGCCCCCTCTCCTACCTCAGTGATCTGAGAAAGCAATTCCCGTCCCACACACCCAGCCCCCTCTCCTCTCCTACCTCAGTGATCTGAGAAAGTAATTCCCGTCCAACACCCAGCCCCCTCTCCTACCTCAGTGATCTGAGAAAGTAATTCCCGTCCCACACACCCAGCCCCCTCTCCTCTCCTACCTCAGTGATCTGAGAAATTAATTCCTGTCCCACACCCAGCCCCCTCTCCTGCCTCAGTGATCTGAGAAAGTAATTCCCGTCCCACACACCCAGCCCCCCTCCTACCTCAGTGATCTGAGAAAGTAATTCCCGTCCCACACACCCAGCCCCCTCCTACCTCAGTGATCTGAGAAAGTAATTCCCGTCCCACACACCCAGCCCCCTCTCCTACCTCAGTGATCTGAGAAAGTAATTCCCGTCCCACACACCCAGCCCCCTCTCCTACCTCAGTGATCTGAGAAAGTAATTCCCGTCCCACACACCCAGCCCCCTCTCCTACCTCAGTGATCTGAGAAAGTAATTCCCGTCCCACACACCCAGCCCCCTCTCCTACCTCAGTGATCTGAGAAAGTAATTCCCGTCCCACAGCCAGCCCCCTCTCCTGCCTCAGTGATCTGAGAAAGTAATTGCCGTCCCACACACCCAGCCCCCCCTCCTACCTCAGTGATCTGAGAAAGTAATTCCCGTCCCACACACCCAGCCCCCTCTCCTATCTCAGTGATCTGAGAAAGTAATTCCCGTCCCACACACCCAGCCCCCTCTCCTATCTCAGTGATCTGAGAAAGTAATTCCCGTCCCACACACCCAGCCCCCTCTCCTACCTTAGTGCCCGCAAGATAGTTTAGAGGCAAAAAAAAATCTAATGCAGCTAAATATGAGCGTTGAAGATTTGAAGCCAGTCAAAAAAACATTCACAAGTTATGGCACTGAAAATGTCTTATACAGCTTACCTAATCTAACCTTGATGTGTGCACTGAGAGGAACGGTGCATGTACACATGGAAAGCGATTATTTTAATCCATATTCGCCCACATGAGGGATTAAATTGTTCTTGACTTGTAGTCCCCTCAAGGAAGGTTCCTTGATGTTGGTGAGGGGCTCTTGATTTAGGGAATTGGATCTGTGCTTCAGTTCCCCGAATTAAGTCTGAATGCCTTCCACATCCCCCCCCCAGGCGCTGTATAATCCTCCGGGTTTAGCGCTTCCCCCTTGATTATAATAATAATTGACTGGTGGTACACGGGTGACATGCAGCCTTAATGACCCTCTTGTAGACAGGCTTTGAACCCTATTAACCAACCACAACCATCTTGTGGAATCACCAACAGCCTGACTGGTCAAATTGTCATGCAGTTAGTGAAGGAAATGCTGCTATCCACGATAATGGCTACGCCATTAAGAGGTTTAGCAGGGAATTGGTGAGCAGTGTAGTCAAAATAAGTGATTATGCGTCCTGCACACACATGCTGGTTAGTATTAGTACATCTGGGCATCCAGCATCAATGAGGTTAGCCAAGATGTGTTGGGTAGCTTGCAACTGCGCATTTTGAAGTGTGTGACCTTAAAGGGCCATGTGTTGGTGGTGGTCGTGCTAATTCCTTTTTAGATTTTGGACTATGCCGTCTGGTTAAGTTAGGTAAGGTTGATCGGGAAACAAGCGTTTCCTGACGCTGGTCTTAGTCATATGATGACCCGGAGCTGGAAGTTTTGGTCATGTGACAGAGGCCTTCCGCTGGCTTACCAGTCCACTCTTAAAAATTATGGTTTTAGTTATAACCATTTTTAGTCTATAACCGTCATAATGTTGAGTAGTGTGTTTGATTGTTCGTATTTCCTTGTACATTTTGTCTCATAATTTCCCAGAAAATCAGTTGATAAATACTTTGCAAATTTTCGGATACTAATTAATAATTTTGTTCTAACAGTAAGTAGCAATCCAAACAAACAATAAAATTGCCGAACCTGTCTATTAATTCACTTGGCTTTAAATACGTATTTTCTCCATAGGAGGGGGACCATCAGCAGGTTTTGTCTCGCATAATGTTCGAAGTGGCAGTGTGTTATTAATGTGATGATTGGTTCTTCAGACGCTCCCGAGGGTCCCCCAGTTATCACACCAGCAGCAGGCACTGAGAGTGATAACATCACTGCTGGACAGAGAGTCGTACTCAACTGTTCTTCACCACCTGCCAGCCCACCGCCTGTACTCACTTGGTACATTAATGAAAGACATGTAAGTCCTTAGTCCGTTGCTTGAGTATTTATTTACTTGTATTAATTTTTGAAGAGTTAATATCTATCCATATATTAATATATATATATATATATATATATATTTATATATATATATATATATATATATATATATATATATATATATATATATATATATATATATATATATAATAAATATATATATATAATAAATATATATATATATATATATTTATATATAATATATATATTTATATTATATTATGCGCAATGAGGTCACAGTAAACGAGTGATATCACAATGTACAAAACTACTGTGAAAAATAGTGAAATTCCAAGTGCTTTCGTGATGTCTTACAATATCAAGGACCTTCATAATGTAATATAATTCTCACCGGCCGTCTCCCATCACGGTGGGGAAACTCGAAAAAGAAGAAACAACTCTCGTAATCACTCCATCACCGTTTTGCTCTAGAGGTTCGCCAACATTACGACTCTGATGCTCCTTCAACATCCCCAACGTTCCTTCGGAGCGAAGCCACTGTACTTTCCACCTCCAGGACTTATAGTCCGGTTAACCGATTTCCCTGAATCGCTTCATGTTACCTTGCTCGCACTCCAACAGCACGAGGTCATAAAAGCCACTTGCCTCCACTCCTATCTGACACGCTTACAAATACTAATTAGATGGCCTGATCAATCAACTTGTCCGTTCTCTGAACCATTTATCTAAAAATATCTTAGAACGCTACGAGATAGTGATCCTCAGACTTTTAAACCAGCGAGAGCTTTATTAAGTTATCGAACTTGATAGATAATATCTACTCTCCTCATAGGAATAGATTAACTTCTGAAACTGGGTATATGCTGATATTCCTCAAGTTCGGTTTGAGATTTTTTTTTAGGTATCCCCGAAGGAATACATTTAAGACGTTGCCTGATTTTTTTCCTTCCTCCTGACATGATAAAACTCTCGCTGAGCGAAACTTTTTTTTTTAGTCTGTCTACGGATGCAAGGATATATGTATATGTTGTAAGGTGTATGTCTATACATATAGTGAGTTTAACACCTGTTTTAGGGATTAAAGTAGTCTTATATATTTCTTGACTGGTGGTGAATAAGTTACGTGTAGCCTTATTTATCCTTGTGTAGTTGAGAGGCTTTAAAACCAACTGACCATCCTAACCATATTTGGGTATATTTATTCTGGAAAAGTTTCGCTAACTAGTGGCCTTTTTAAACCATTTATTCACATCCTGTCAAACGCAGCAACATCTTGACTTGGAATCTTGATGCAGGGATTTCTTCACAACTTGTCTAACCTATAGACACGACCTACTTCCACTAGTGGTGGTGTCCACTGATGACTCCGCCTACCACTGCTACACCTCATCTGTCATCACTATATAAGCCCTATCTCTGAAAATGTGCTACACTTTTATCAAGATTGATGGACTGAACACATCGACTCAAGCCTGATGGACTGATTACCTCAAACTCCTAATCTTCCACCTTTCTGTGCATTGGACTGAAGCCACTGGTTGGCGAAACGTTTCCGGAATAAATATACCCAAATTTTGCACAAGTATCTCATTTATCAATTTGTCGGATTTCTAAACCATTTATTCCTAACCATCTGATGTTGAACGGGTTAACTGGTAATCATCTGTCGAACACCCGTGTCAGTGAGACATTTGTTCTCTTTGCTGACGAAGAAAACACTACCACCAATGAAATAAGAGATCTTTCTCCTTGCAGGTTGACCCGTCGTGGGTAACACCCTCTCCACCAGTGTTTCAGCGAAATCTGGCGAGGTCGCACTCTCGGCTAGACTTCTTCGTCAGCCGTCAACTCCTAGCGTCCAGCAGGAATCTCTCTGTGACGTGTATGGCTACTCAAGGAGTAGGCATCATTGGTAGCGCAGGTAGCGGCGGTGACGGCTGGCAGCAGCAGGCGCTACACAGCTACAAGGAGAGTGCTCACCTCACACTAAGATCCACGCGGCCCCTGTCATTCTGGGATCGCATTTTCAGTAGTGGTAAGTGTTGGCAGGGGCAGTGTATATGCACCGAGAGATGTTTCTTCCAGTGTACTGTATCTACAAGTCATTCACCCAATTAACAGCAGGCAGGACAAAGAAAGTTGAAAAATGTTTTGTTAGATTAAACTCTGTAGCCTGAATGGAATGACCCTCTGAGTAGTCGACGGGCTTTAAGCCCCATTAACCAAACGACCAGAATAGGATAATAGTTCTGAAAACAAAACGAAACAGAACAAAGAAAATGTGAACGGGTTGTGGACGCAACACATTGAGGCTGAGAAGTTACTCATCTAAAAGGTAGGAATAACAGAACATACAAAAGAGACGTACAGAAAGCATGAAATAGTTAATTATTCAAATCAGTATCAGAGAAAATAAGCCATCTTCATCAGCGATTGCTAACACACTCAGATCACACACTGAGGTCTGGGAGTCGATCCCCGGTACGGGTGGAAACTTTAGGATGCATTTCCTTAAGACACCTGCTGTCCATGTTCACCTTTCAATAAAATAGGCACCTGGGTGTTAGTCTAACTAGTGTAGGTCGCATCCTAGGGACCTAATTTTCCCGAAATGCTCTGCATAACAAGGGGCTTTCCATGTAGTAGTATGCCATTGATGTCAGCAAAGTTTGTATACCTTGTACTTGTAGAAATAAATATTATAGCGGTATTGAGAGCAGGTTGAGCAAGTCTATGAAGACTACTTCCACCCTTTTAAGTCTCCAGAAGCCTTCAACACAACGGTGAGGAAATGAAGGATGTCAACCCAAGAAGCAAAGGCTTCAGTTATACCCAACAAAGATACTTAAGAATTTTGTCAAAAAATTTCACTGTTACTATAAAAATTCAAGGCAATATATTCGTATATACCAGTAATATGGGCCAGTGGTATATACGAGAAATAATGCGTAATAAACATCAGAAACAACTGTGCAAATTTATTTATATAAATTAGGATTTTTTTTAACCAAGTATGCATGGAGAAGCGCTAAACTCGTAGCGCCTGGTTAATGGAAAGAAATCAAGTTCGATTCAATGTAAGGAAGAGTAGCTCCAAATACTTAACGTACAACGTAATGTACCTGCAGGTTACCTGCAGGTTATTCCGGGGATCAACGCCCCCGCGGCCCGGTCCATGACCAGGCCTCCCGGTGGATCAGGGCCTAATCAACTAGGCTGTTACTGCTGGCCGCACGCAGTCCAACGTACGAGCCACAGCCCGGCTGATCCGGCACTGACTTTAGGTATCTGTCCAGCTCTCTTGAAGGCAGCCAGGGGTTTATTGGCAATTCCCCTAATGCTTGATGGGAGGCTGTTGAACAGTTTTGGGCCCCGGACACTTATGGTGTTTTCCCTTAGTGTACCAATGGCGCCCCTACTTTTAATTGGGAGCATTTTGCAACGCCTGCCCAGTCTTTTACTTTCGTAGGGAGTGATTTCTGTGTGCAGATTTGGGACCATTCCTTCCAGGATTTTCCAAGTGTAGATTATGATATATCTCTCCCTCCTGCGTTCCAACGAGTACAAGTCAAGTGCTTCCAAGCGTTCCCAGTAGTTAAGGTGTTTGACAGAACTTATACGTGCAGTAAAGGATCTCTGTACACTCTCTAGATCTGCGATTTCACCTGCTTTGAACGGAGATGTTAATGTACAGCAGTATTCCAGCCTAGAGAGAAAAAGTGATTTGAAAAGGATCATCATTGGCTTGGCATCTCTCGTTTTGAACGTTCTCATTATCCATCCTATCATTTTCTTTGCACGTGCGATCGTGGCACTGTTGTGATCCTTGAAAGTGAGATCCTCAGACATTACTACTCCCAGGTTCTTTACATTATTTTTCCGCTTTATTGTATGGCCAGAGTCTGTAGTATACTCTGTACGTTCATATAATATGAAATAAATGTTATTTAAGATAATTAATATTTATCAACAGCAGAAATGTTCTGAGCGTATTTGTAATTAATTGAAAAAATAAGAGTTAGAAAAGGTTATATAGTTATTGCCACAATAGATGTCTATATTGTCTTGCAGTGCACGCAGACGCACTCCAACCATACTGTGTGTGCGTGTGTGTGTGTGTGTGTGTGTGTGTGTGTGTGTGTGTGTGTGTGTGTGTGTGTGTGTGTGTGTGTGTGTGTGTGTGGGGTGTGTGTGTTTGGGCTCCGCGGGGTTTAGTAATCCGATCAGTGGTCACGCAAACCTCTGATCCTGCTGGCTAGACCAACCCAGCCTTCCACCACCACACGTCTGTTCTTTGTCTTAAGTTTTATATATATATATATATATATATTATATATATATATATATATATATATATATATATATATATATATATATATATAAATTCATGTTAAACTGGACGAGATTCGAGCCAGAAGCTTAGTGTTGGCAAATCCTGCACTCTTGTACTGGGTCATATTAGTCACAATTAGAAAAGGGCTACCTATCTTAATTAGGTAGTCAGCACGGGTCACTGTCTTCAAATTCAGCTGAAAGATTTTTCAGGGCAACCCCCTCTCACCAACAACAAAAGATCATCATTAGTGTTAGAAAACTGAATGTCTATCGTCCTACATTTTTTGGCATACCTTGTGCCCTCATTTTATGGGAATTTGTCATTACTCTGTTGCCTCCTCCAGAGACGAGGGTCAACTGGAGTCTCCACGGGTAATGACAGTATTCCACGCAGAAAGATTAACGAGTAAAGGAGTCCTAGGACTTTGCCGGGTAATATATCCCAGTGTTAGGTATCCATTATAGTATAATGAGCGGCCTTGGAGGAAACTTGGATCCAGGCTTGAGTACAGACATTTGCCTTCTTACTGAAGGTGGATTAGTAGGTTTATTATAAATCTGGGTTAACTACTTGGTTGACCTGTCTATAGCCAGGTAGCTGCTAGAACAGTTCTTGCAAACCTGTAAAGGACCTCCCACCGTTAACGTTTGCCTTTATGGTGTTAAAACGCTTGTTACCACACCTAACCTCAGAGGTATCGTTCCGTGTTAACTAACAAACTGTTGGAAGAAAAGACCTAAATAAAAAGCTCGATCCTCTACGCCGTTAATACCGAGAACAAATTTTTCACTTAAAATATACTGCTGTAACTTCTGTGAAGACTAGTCTGCAGTTTTTAAGACCTTTGGGATTTCACCTAAATCCAGGCTCCTTCATCAGTGGTACTTTCTCGTCTGACGTATGAAAGATTTGTGTTGGTATTAGATGCATAGAGTAGGTAGTTTATAATTACCTAGGTCCTAAACTCTTCTGGCATCGGTAGGGTCACTGAGCATTGATTCCGTTCTTTAAAGATTTCGTGTATTTCTTTGTCATTTGTGTATGAACCTCCTTTCAGTAGGTGGCCAATATTGAAAGTGATTCTTGACTTAGACTTTTCGTATGCTTTTCATTCCTCTTGTTGCTTCTGTTTAATATGAATGTGACTAACTACAGTAGGCTATGTTGAGGCTAACTACAGTAGGCTATGTTTGTAAACAATAATATTGTAAGTTTTAAAGCGTAATGAGTGTACATGGGTCATTGAGGGGCTGCACATTGTACGAGTATACTAACATCAGTGTATATACACACCAGTGTGTATATACTAAGACCCTCGTCAGGAAACATCCTGTTTCCCGATGAACCTAAACTGTGTGTGTGTGTGTGTGTGTGTGTGTGTGTGTGTGTGTGTGTGTGTGTGTGTGTGTGTGTGTGTGCGTGCGTGCGTGCGCACTTCTCTCAAAAGTACATTGCAGTCTTATTGACCGTCGGTGCACTCGAGAAGTCTTAATGCCTTCAACATAGCAAAATACAGCTAATACACGAATTATATTGCATTTCAGGTTCAAGTGCCCGTGTGTGTCTACAGCACCACCACAATCTCCTGCTGGTGGTGATCGCTGTTCTGGCGCCCTCTACTCTCACCACACACTGCTGAGGCCCTTCAACCTTAACCCTCTGCTAACTGCTCATCCTGATACATTATATATTCCGTCACTGTAGTTAAGATGTAAGATTACCTGGAGATTTGATCCTCGGCTGTCAAAGTCAACTGTCAACTGGAGATATGTAATTTTTTTATCGTGGCAATTTTATTTTTGCACCAAATCTAACTCTTGCAATCTGACGTAAACTTATCAACATATAGGTAGTGTAAAAAAAACATTTATCTAACATTAAAAATTTTCATATCTTTTGTGAACAGTTTTCCTCTGAGGAGTGAAATTTCAGGTGATCCAAATTGTACATTTATAACCCTCCCACGAGCAGCCTACTCGCTGGGCTCCAGTATAGTATCCATATTAATAATTTCTGTGTAGATTCCAGTATGTAATTTCCTGGATAAAATGGCTTATTGACAATAACAAAGCCCAGATTTGACTCCCTTGACAGCAGAAGTTTGGGACTGAGAATGTTCTCGTCTTCACGTGGATTTTTCAATAGGTATAAATGGCATGAAAGAATCTCCTCTTTACCTCGTAATATTAACACTAGAGAAGTATTTGCATTAAACAGATCAGGTTTTAGTTCATACTCTTAAACTAGGTTAAAAAAAATTAACATGTTAAGCCGTAGTATAACACTTTCAGCCACTGAGCAGCGTGTTAGATTTTTGTTTTTAACTTGTGACGCTTTCTCCAGCATGCCTAATTTTGTCTAATATGTCATTCCTGTAATTTTATTAACCGTGGCTCATATCATGATAGTTATTAAATGGTTACGGGTCATTAAAACCTTGAAAAATATATATGAGAGGCACGCACGTGGTATAGGCTTATGTCTAATATTTAGATTGGAGATTGAAGACAGAAATCAAAATGCCCAACTGAATGTAGGCTACAGAGAGCAGCCTAGAGAATTCAGATTTTACCAGTTTAAATAAAAATGACCAATAAAGCTTATCATTACTACCACTTTCCATTATTAGGAACGTGTCCTTACTAAAAACAAACAATTAACAACTAATCCATAAATTCGTAATGAAAACTCGACGACTTTTCTGACGCTTCTACCGCTACTACTACAACTGATAGAATCGTCCAGTTTTCACCTCAAAAATTTAGTTGTGAATTGTTTTATTGGAGGGATTGCGACTTCCGATGTACTGCAAATGGTTTATATACAAATTCCCGTTTTACTTTCCCATTCCCGTTCCCCCTCTTTTCCCCCCTAAGCTGTTACTGCTGTTAATTCGTGCATTTCTGTTGTTGATCAGTGTCTTCCTTGTTGTTTTTTGCTCTTAGATAAACTCTGCTAGTTGGTATCGACTCATTCTGAGCAAATGTTGGTATTCTGCTGTGATTTAAAGCCCTCAGTAAAGCGAGTGATAATACTGTAAACGTCGGGGTTTCACTGTCATGGTTGTTCAGTCTCTGTGGGTTCCCTGCTTTCTTGATCAAAAGTGTCTAGCCTTCGTATTTTCGAATTTACTGGTGTTAGTGAATGTTACAATTCTTTATATTTGGTTAATTTGCGTTAATTTCGCCTAAATGTCAGTTTTTCTACAAACGCTAAGTAATAGATTCGAAAAATCAACGTCGCTATTAGGACATTTCCTGCTAATTCATATAATTTTAGACAACTTTTCTGTTGAAATATCAAATGTCACGTCTCTGCTTATGTGTTGTTATATGACATCTCTTTATATACTAGACTTGGGCAATAAGAACCAATAAGTCTACTGCAGTGCTCCTTCATTCGTGTTATCTGTTCTCGACGATTTTTTGGGGGGTCGATTGGTGTTTTTTGTTTGCTGTGTTGTTGGTAAATTTTCCTGCTGTTACTGTCTTACTTCCCCACACTGTGCTCAGATTCTCTCTTCCATGTCGTCTTGCTGGTAATTAGCCACTTTCCTGATAAGATCCCATTCACGTTCTCCTTATCAGACTTCAAACTATTTCTCCATTAAACCTTAAACTGTCTCCTTTATTCAGCTGATAATATTCTCCAGAAGTGTCCTGACAATGGTCTTCATCTCTGGACAACCAGTTATTTTATTAAATCTCTATTTCCAGACTGCCATACATTGATTCTAAATCTCTATCCATGTAATAAAGCCCATATTAGCCCTTGCATTAAGCATATTTTTTTTCAGTTTCACAGCCTTCGAATGTCCTCACACGACTCAGTCTCAGCAGGTCACAGCCTACTGAACTTACAGACTAATATGTGAGGTCTAGTCAAATTATTTCGAAGCCTATCCTTCTATCTATGCCATAACATCATTTTGGGATGCCACCCCCACCTCAGCCAGCTGACACCCCAGGTACCTACTTAGGTGGGAAAACAGGGGAAGAGAAACGGACCTAGTGTAACCACTCGACCCAGGATCGAGTCCGGGTCTTGTGGTTATGAGCCGAAGGCGCTGTTTGTTCATACTGTCTCTTACCTGTCTTGATCTCTACGGTCCCCTACACTATATCCAGCTGCTGACATAATGTCCACTACCGTGTAGTTCCTCATTCCTTCCTTCCTTTATTCGTGTAACCAATATTATTACTTCTGCTGTTATTACTACCACTATTACTACTACCACTATTACTACTACCACTATTACTACTACCACTATTACTACTACCACTATTACTACTACCACTATTACTACTACCACTATTACTACTCATGTTACTACTACCACTACTATTATACTACCACTACTATTACTACCACTACTATTACTACAACTCACTACTATTACTACCACTATTACTACTATTACTACTACCACTATTACTACTACCACTATTACTACTACCACTATATTACTACCACTACCATTACTACACCACTATTACTACCACTATATTACTACACACTATTACTACTAACCACTATACTACTACCACTACTATTACTGCTAACCACTATTACTACACACTATTACTACATACTTTACCACTATTACTACTACCACTATTATAACTACTACCACTATTACTATACTTATCCTACTATTACTATACTACTTACTATATACTATCTACACACTATTATCACATTACTACCACTATTACTACTTTCCACTATTACTACTCATATACATCCACTATTACTACACTATACTACTACCACTTTACTATCAATTACTACTCACATACTACACACTATTTCTACTACCACTCTACTACTCATATTACTACGCCACTATTACTACATATTACTACTACCACTATTACTACTTTACTACTGCACTATTACTACTACCACTATTTCTCTAATTACTACTACCACTATTACTACTCCACATACTACTGCACTATTCACTACACTATTACTACTACCACTATTACTACTACCACTACTATTACTACCACTATACTACTGTATTAGCTACCACTATTACTAACACTATACTATTACTACCACTACTATTACTACCACTATTACCACTGTACTACCACTATTACTACCACTACTATTACTACCACTACTATTACTTACACTACTATTACTTACACTACTATTACTACTATTGCTACCACTGTACTACTTCTACACTACATACTATTCACACTATACTACTACCACTACTATTACTACCATACTACACCATCTAACTACCTACTAACTATACTACATACCCACTATTACTACTACCACTATTACTATTACCACTATTACTACCACTATTACTACTACCACTATTACTACTACCACTATTACTACTACCACTATTACTACTACCACTATTACTACTGCCACTATTACTACTGCCATTATTACTACTACTCCACTATTACTACTGCCACTATTACTACTGCCCATTACTTACATACTACTCCACTGTTACTACTGCCACTATTACTACTACCACTATTACTACTACCACTATTACTACTACCACTATTACTACTGCCACTATTACTACTGCCACTATTACTACTACCACTATTACTACTACCACTATTACTACTACCACTATTACTACTGCCACTATTACTACTGCCACTATTACTACTACCACTATTACTACTACCACTATTACTACCACTATTACTACCACTACTATTACTACCACTATTACCACTACTATTACTACCACTATTACCACTACTATTACTACCACTACTATTACTACCACTATTACTACCACTATTACTACCACTATTACTACCACTTCTACTACTACCACTACTATTACTACTACCACTATTACTACCACTACTATTACTACTACCACTACTATTACTACCACTATTACTGCCACTATTACTGCCACTACTATTACTACCACTACTATTACTACCACTATTACTACTACCTCTACTATTACTACTATTACTACTACCACTACTATTGCTACCACTATTACTACTACTATTACTACTATACTACTATTACTACCACTACTATTACTACCACTACTATTACTACCACTACTATTACTACCACCACTATTACTACCACTACTATTACTACCACTATTACTACCACTACTATTACTACCACTATTACTACCACTACTATTACTACCACTATTATTACTACCACTATTACTACCACTACTATTACTACCACTATTATTACTACCACTATTACTACCACTACTATTACTACTACCACTATTACTACTACTATTACTACTACCACTATTACTACCACTACTATTACTACCACTATTACTACTACCACTATTACTACCACTATTACTACTACCACTACTATTACTACTACCACTACTATTACTACTACCACTACTATTACTACTACCACTACTATTACTACTACCACTATTACTACTACCACTACTATTACTACTACCACTATTACTACTACCACTACTATTACTACCACTACTATTACTACCACTACTATTACTACTACCACTACTATTACTACCACTACTGTTACTACTACCACTACTATTACTACCACTACTGTTACTACTACCACTACTATTACTAACTACCACTACTGTTACTACTACCACTACTACTACCACTACTATTACTTCTACCACTACTATTACTACTACCACTACTACTACTACCACTACTATTACTACCACTACTATTACTACTACCACTACTACTTTTACTTCTATTATCACTACTGTTACTAATAATTTTATTGGGAACCGCTAAACCCGTGGGGGTCATACAGCACCTGTCCACTTAATTCCAGGCAGTAAATAATTTTGTTATGGAGATTATACCTCACCTGACCAAACAAATATCAGTCTGCTGGACAGTTAGACTCCTTTATCTTGTTATATATATATATATATATATATATATATATATATATATATATATATATATATATATATATATATATACATACACACACACACACATAAAATCACAGAGCCTCTTCCCGCAGCTTGCAACTGCGTTCATTGTTGAAAAACAAAAAAATAAGAGTTCTTTATATCGCTGATGCTGGACGATGTATTTTGTGGTGATAAACAATGCCTGTATGTATTTCCAATTGAATTGTTCAATAATTCTTACTACCAAAAAATAATCTTTGTATTTTGTTGACTTAATATGCTTACCCTTTCCCCCTGATTAAATGTATTTTTGTATTTTCATTGTACTTTTTTTATGTATTTCCTATCACCTTTTTATTGTATTTATATTCTGTATCCTTACTGCATCATGTTTTATATTGTATCCCCTTTTTTTATTCTGTATCCCTACGTTATTATATTTTTATACTGTATCTCTATCATTGTATTCTTATATAGTCCTAATCGTATTTTTATACTGTAGTGTATCCCTATTTGTATTAATTTTATACTGTATCCCCTATTGTGAGAAATTATTTGGATAAATTTAAGAATTTCCTGAATTAACATTTCACCGCCATAATTATGAAGAAATTTTGGTACATCAAACAGTTTACACTTACTGATATTAATGTAGCTCAGTCAAGTGGGACTTTAAGGTCACCAGGTCACAATAATGACCTTCCTGCCCACCTTCCCATTTCATGTCTCTCACCTCTGAACTTTCAATTATCATTGCAACACAGTTCTTAAAATTATTTGAAAAAAAAAATTATGCCAGTAACACTGACAAATTATATGTGGACTGTATATATTCGGTAATACCAATTGACCTGAGTAATTTGTTGGGTAATTATATATAAATATTACTCGCCAAATTAAGATTTTTGGTGTCATATTCTAACACCTCCCTTTTAGTAGGTAATTCATACTGACCAATATAAATTAAGGCACCTGTAGTGAGAATTAATATATTGGGAGTCGTACATGTGGCGTCAACTTCATTAATTTTTGCTTCTATTACACCTTCGTTAATTTCACTTGAAGATTCGGCCGATTTCCAAATTCCTTCAGAGAACTAAATCCGCCTCTCAGGACGGCCACCTGTGCCGTAATCGCTCACATTCAGTTATCCTTTTATGACCTGTCCCCTGGGGTCAAAATAAGAGCGGAGACGACCAGCAGTCAGCCTTCCACACCTGTCACCCCCCCCCTGCCATCTACACAACCCCCCTCCTCCATCTGGAGTGGGTTTCAGGGGTCAACGCCCCCGCTGCTCGGTCTGAGACCGGACCTCGTGGTTGATCAGACCCTGATCCACCATGAGGCCTGGTCTCAGACCGGGCCGCGGGGGCGTTGATTCCCGAAACTATCTCCATGTAAACTCCAGGTATACCATTAATACTCCATGTTTACAAGACATTATATTAACACTTCACATACACATTATTAATTAAAGGATAAATTTCCACACCTATCATTGTATTTAATACTATATTCCTTAATAATTGTATTTGTTTTATACTGTATTCCTTATCATTGTATTTATATTGTATCCTCTATCATTGTCTGGAATAAAACTGTATCCCTCTCGTTGTATTTATACTGTATCCAAATACAGTACAAACAAAGATTGGCAATAAACTACAATAAAATGACTGTGTATATATATATATATATATATATATATATATATATATATATATATATATATATATATATATATATATATATATATATATATATATATATATATCGAATACAACGGCAGGGGACAGCACAAAAATACAATGACAGGAAACGCAGTATATACAGCGATGTATAATTATTTTTATATAATGTATTCTCTATTTTATAATGTATTCCAATCATTGTTCTGTACTGTGAAATTTATATACTTTATACTGTAACTCCGGTCATTGTATTTTCATTGTCCCTGTCATTGTATTTGTATTTCTTCTCCCTGTCATTGTATTTTGTATTGTATACTGCATCCTCTCGTTTTTTTGTATTGTTAGAGCAAAATGACTCGCGAAATCGTAATGACACGACTGCAAACAAACCATACCACGGGTGGGAATAGAACCCGCGGTCATAGTTATAAAACTCCAGACCGACGCACTAGCCACTGGGCCAGCTGGCTACAATAAGATTCCTCTAACTAGGCATAAATATACCTAGTTGGACGAATCTTATTGTAGCCAGCTGGCCCAGTGGCTAGCGCGTCGGTCTGAAGTTTTATGACTCTGACCGCGGGTTCTATTCCCACCCGTGGTATGGTTTGATAGAGCAAAATACAATGAATAGGGATACAGTATAAATTACACACAATGATTAAGGTAATCGTTGTAATTTTTTCATTGTATTATGATGTAACCCAAATCATAGTATTTTCT